CACCTGCATTTAAGAGCTAAAAGCTATGCATGATTCTTGACAGGGCCAAGTGCCGGAGGTTGGGGGCCAAGGGGGTGCAGTGAAAACATCAGCTGATTCCAGAATAGTTCTTGAGGTACCATAGCCATGGCAAGGCAGGCCCTAGGGAGCCAGGTCTGAGCAGAGAGGCAGCACCCTAAGAAGCAGACATACCCTAGACACAGAGTGAGGGGCTGCTAATGACCCACAGCAGTTAACAAGATCTACAGTGGCAGGAGGGAAGCTTCCTGAACAACCCACACTTCCAAACCCCACACTACACGTCCTCATTCTCATCTCCATCCCCATGTCTCCACCCCCTCACTCCTACTAGAGAGCTATATTTTCACTGGGTGGGTTGAATTGGAGAATGTTGGATGTGTTCCCATTATGGCCTCACTGATATCCCCTCTGTTATCATGCCTTGGGCCCCAAGCCAGGAGAAGCACCTGGTGTAATTCTATTTATCCCTAGATCCTTAATATCCCTGGGGAGTGCCAGGGTTCCTCGTTCCAAAGGCTGCATGTATGAAGAATATTACTGCAAATTGCTCATCTCAGACCTGGGCCCAGGCTTCTGTTTTACATTTTAACAAATGGCTAAATGGTTAGCTTAGGTTGGATCAGTTAAAATCATAGCATTCTTAATTTCACTTAAAGGTAGCTGCTTAGAAAATGAATTATTTCAGAAAATCAGGATGTGATGAATAGATTAATTGGAAATTATTATTAGAATTAATGAAGCTTTCAGAACTGCCCTTCTGAGCTCTGTAACAAACTCCCTTTTGTTTGAATTTCAAAAGTCACCCCATAACATGGCCCATAGTTCCTTAGATGCATATCTCTGTAATGAACAGAAGGTTTGAAAATGTGCCCTGCTTCTGCAGCAGACTTTAATGCTCTTCAAGATGGAAAGTTTTTCAGCTTTCAAAAGAACCACCACCACCATTTCCCTCTTTAATGCTCATCCCTCCAACAGAAACACACAGTGAAAGAAGGAATCAGTTGGGTGGACTTTTAATGGCCTCCTGTGGTTGTAGTGTCATTGTGAGACAGAGAGGACCTTCAGGAAAAATAAAAGTGAGATTGAGTTCATATTTTCATGAAGAAGGAATATAATAATGTTTGCCCATGTGCAAGACTTTGGGAAGCATATATGTTGCTGCAGAAATGAATCACCTAATCGCTACACTTACATAATTATTGGTGCAATAGTTGATTTCCCCACTAGTTTATAACTTCATGTGGGCAAGGCTACATTTTTTTCTAGTTCACCTCGACATCCCTAGACTCTAGCACTTAGACGCCAAAAATACACATTGAATAAACACTATTGAGGTCCCAAAGAGTGATTAAAAAGAAAAAAAAGCTAAGACTCACATTTAAAATATAGATATCATGGTAGGAAACAAAATGCACTATTTTTTTCATAATTTTTTAGTATTAAATAATTTCAAACTTAGAAAATTTTTAAAAGTTATACCAAGAACTACTGGATACTCTTTGTTCAAATTCCCCAAAGTTTAACATTTACCACGTTTGCTTTTATATGTATGAGAGTAAGTAGCAGACATGATGCCCTTTTATTCCTCAATATTTCAGTATGTAATTCCTAAGAACAAAGACATTCTCTTACATAGCCACCAAACAGATGTCAAAATCAGGAGATTAATAACAAGACAATATTATTATCTAATCCATAGACCTCATTCAACATTTGCTAGTTACCTTAATAATATCTATATAGTAATAGAAAAATAATTTTTAAATATTACATGTTGATTAAATACAACATGTAATCCTGGATTAGATATTTTTAAATTATTTGAAATATTATTTTAAAATATTGCACTTAATCAGCATGTAATCTCTTTAACAATCTGTAACAGTTCTTTGATCGTTCTTAGTCCTCCATGACCTTGATATTTTTGAAAAGTAGAGGCCAATTATTTTGTAGGATGTCTTTCAAATCAGGTTTATTTGATGTTCCTTCGTGATTAAGTTCAGATTTTGTGTCTTTGGCAGAATTACCAGGGAAGTGATGCTGTGTGTTTTGCACTGCACCATATCAAGAGTCTGGGATGAGTGCAGTGGCTCACGCCTATAATCCCAGAAATGTGAGAGGCCAAGGTGGGCAAATGGCTTGAGTTCAGGAGTTTGAGACTGGCGTGGGCAACGTGGTGAAACCCTGTCTCTACAAAAAAATACAAAAGTTAGCCAGGTGTGGTGGCACGTGCCTGTAGTCCCAGCTACTCAGAAGGCAGAGGGGAAGACTCATCTGAGCCAGGAGGTGGAGGCTGCAGTGAACTGTGATTGAACCACTCCTGTCTCAAAAACAAACAAACAAAAAAGTCACATATGTTAGTCTGTTTCATTGCTGGTGATACTAACCTGGATCGCTGGGACAAGCTGGTGTCTCCCAGCCTTCTCCACTGTAAAGCTACACTTTTCTTCTTTGTAATTAGTAAGTATTTTGTGGGGAAATACTTTGAGACCATGTAAATATCCTGTTCCTTATCAAATTTTCACCCATAAACGTTCACATCCATTGATGATTCTTGCTTAAATTATTACTATGATACTTGCCAATTAGTGATTGTCTAACCTTATCATTCATTCTGCATTTCTTAGTTGGCATTCCCTTCTAAGAAAGCTGTTCTCTTTTTTCCTATTTACTTGTTAATGTATTTCTTTATATTAGCATGAACTTGAATGATTATTTCAGTCATTGGAATTATAATCTGTTAATATCTTTACTTATTTGATATACGTATTCTCCCAGATTAGGCTGGCCCCCAGGCTCTTTTGATATGTGCCGTTGTTTTTGAGCATTCCCTTTCTCCCTGAGATAAGGTGTTCCAGGCTCAAATTCAGCCTTCTCTGCACAGCCCTGGAATCAGGCATTCTTGCAGGAGCCCTAGCTCCTTTTAGTGGAGAATGTTCTCAAATTTACTTTTAAAATAAAAAACGAAGACAAAATAGATAATACAGAACTATTCAGCAAGTACAATAAATATTAAACAAAAATCTACCCTGACCTATGCCATTGTCAGTTACACAGGAGAGACACAAAGCTTGATTCATTAATATAGTCTATTATGGGATAGATATATGGAAATATATAAATGAAACAGAATAGGCCAGGCATGGTGGCTCACACTCGTAATCCCAGCACTTTGGGAGGCCGAGGCAGTAGGATCACTTGAGCTCAGGAGTTCAAGACCAGCCTGAGCAACATATCAAGACCTCATCTCTATTAAAAAAAAAAAATTAACTGAAATAGAATGGAGCTACTATAAATTCATCTTGGCATAGCATATATCAGACCTCAGAATTGTTTTTATGTTGTTGTTGAGACAGAGTTTCACTCTTGTTGCCCAGGCTGAAGTGCAATGGCGTGATCTTGGCTCACTGTAACCTCTGTCTCCCAGGTTCAAGTTATTCTCCTGCCTCAGCCTCCCAAGTAGCTGGGATTACAGGCATCACCACTAGGCCTAGCTAATTTTTTTGTATTTTTAGTAGAGGGGGGGTTTTGACATGTTTGCCAGGCTAGTCTCGAACTCCTGGCCTCAGGTGATCCACCTGTCATAACCTCGGGGGTTGGGATCACAGGCATGAGCCACTGCACCCAGCCCAGACTTCAATATTATATAGGTGGCATTATAGTGAACTATTCAATTAATGGTATTAATTTTTTAATATTAATCAACTGAATTCCTTACTCACAATTGAAAAAATTATGCTCTCAATGTATTTCTTTGTTGTTTTTTTTAAAAACTTTTTCTTTTGTTGATGTTTCTTTTTTTTTTTTTTTTCCTTTTTTTGATTTGTTTTTAGAGATAGGGTCTTGCTATGCTGCCCAGGCTGGTCTTGAACTCCCAGGCTCAAGCAATCTGCCCACCTTGGCATCCTAAAGTGCTGGGATTACAGGCATGAGCCACCATGCTCAGCCTATGCTCTCCATATACTAAAGCTTCAGTTATGAAAACAAAACTTTAGAATTATTAGACAAAGTTTAGAAAAATATATTTAGAATACAGAGATAGTGTGAGATTTATGCTATGGTTTGAATGTGTGTGTCCCGCCAAAGTTCATATGTTAGAACTTAAACCCCAAGGTGAGAGTGTTAAAAGATGCAGCCTGTTGGGAAGTGATTGCATCAGGAACACTCAGCCCTCATGATTAGATCAGTGCTCTTACAAAAGAGGTTTGGAGGGAGCATCATGGTGCTTTTGCCCTTCCATCTCTTTGGCCATGTGAGGACACGTAGAAGGAACCATTCATGAGGAACTGCCCTCACTAGACACCAAGCCTGCTACTGCCTTGATCTTGGACCTCCCAGTCTCTAAAACTGTGAGAAATACATTTGTTTTTTATAAATTACCCAGTCTAGAGTAGTTTGTTATAGCAGCATGAGTGAACTAAGATAATTTCCTAAATAAGCACAAAGTACATACAAGTTCATAATTGTTACATTTTTTTTTTTTTTTTTTTTTTTGAGACAGAGTTTCGCTCTTGTTGCCCAGGCTGGAGTGCAATGGCGCGATCTTGGCTCACTGCAACCTCCGGCCTCCCAGGTTCAAGTGATTCTCTTGCCTCAGCTGCCGAGTATCTGGGATTACAGGCGCCCGCCACCACGCCTGGCTAATTTTTTAATTTTTAGTAGAGACCAGGTTTCACCACGTTGGCCAGGCTGGACTTGAACTCCTGACTTCAGGTGATCCACCTGCTTTGGCCTCCCAAAGTTCTGGGATTACAGGCGTGAGCCACTGCACCCGGCCTGTTACATCATTTTGGTGGACTATTTCTTTTATTATTGTACATTGATCTTTGTCTTAGACCATTTTGTGCTGCCATAACAAAATACCACATTAGGGATATACCACATTAGAGCTGGTCATACAGAATATAAAGAAAAATGAATGGGATATCTTGAACATATGTATAATAAACTGTTTATAATCCAATTATTGTTTGTTACAGGTTTTCAAACTAGAAGTGAAAAAACTACTGAAGCACCTTACAAGGTAAGTCACCATATTACATTGCCCAGAAAAGTACTACAGTAGTAGAGAGATTAATAACAACTTGTATAGTTGACATTGCTAAATGCTTGCAGGATGAAAAGTCATTAAAAGAAATTATAGGCCAAGAGTGGTGGCTCATGCCTGTGGTAAAAGAAAAACCTTAGCCAAATTATATTTAACAGAGTTCAATTGAGCAAAGAATGATTTGTGAATTGAGCAGCCTCCCAAATCAGAGCAGGCTCCGAGACTCCAGTGCAGTCACATGGTAGAAGGTTTATGGACAGAAAAAGGAAAGTGATGTACGGAAAATGGAAATGAGGCACAGAAACAGCCAGATTGGTTATAGCTTAGCATTTGCCTTATTTGAACACGGTTGCCTTATTTGAACACGGTTGCCTTATTTGAACAGTTGGCCACATTTGAGTGGCAAAAACTCAGTGACTGGCACAAGAGTAGGCCACAGCCAGTTTACAATTCCATTTAGGTTATAGTTCATGATGTACAGAGAAACTTTTAGGTTGAACTTAAAATATGTAAGGATGGCTGGGTGCAGTGGCTCATACCTGTAATCCCAGCACTTTGGGAGGCTGAGGCAGGTGGATCACCTGAGGTCAGGAGTTCAAGACCAGCCTGACCAATATGGCAAAACCCCGTCTCTACTAAAAATACAAAAATTAGCCAGGCGTGGTAGTGCGCACCTGTAGTTCCAGCTACTCAGAAGGCTGAGACAGGAGAATTGCTTGAACCCAGAACGCAGAGGTTGCAGTGAGCCGAGATCGTGCCATTGTACTCCAGCCTGGGCAACAGAGTGAGGCTCCATCTCAAAAACAAAACAAAACAAACAACAACAACAAAAAAAAAAACCCCAACCAACCAACCAAACAAACAAAAATCAATATGTAAGGAAGTAGCTTCAGGCTAAACTTAACACTTGTAATCCCAGCACTTTGGAAGACCGAGGTGGAGAATTGCTTGAGCCCAGGATTTTGAGACTAGCCTGGGCAACATCGTAAGACCCAGTTTCTACGAAGAATTTAAACAATTAGCTGGACGTGGTGGCATGCACTTGTGCTCCTGGCTACTCCAGAGGCTGAGGCAGGAAGATCACTTGAGCCCAGGAGGTTGAGGCTGCAGTAAACTGTGATCATGCCACTGCACTCCAGCCTGGGTGATAGAACAAGACCCTGTGTAAAAATATAAAAGAAAAAAAAAAAAAGAAATGACATAACTACCACTTTTCAATGGTGTGGTAACTCCAAGTCAAGAATTAGTTGCAAACATAAAGACTAAGTGAATATCTCCTCTGTAAAATTGAACTTTTGCCTTAAAATGAGCAAGTCTATGCATGTGCCTAGATTTGCAACTCGGCTTGCATTTGTTCAGGTTCAACACCAACCAATCATCAAAGATTGATGTTGTATATGTGGATGTGGATGCAATGAACACATTGGTGCTTAAATGTTCAAAGGATTGAATAATTTTTTTGAATTGCCTGGTTTATCCTGTATTAACTATGTTAACAACTGTGCTGATGGTGCAAAAGCAATGGTTGGTAAAACTGCTGGTGTCTTAGCACAAATCAAGGCAGCGGTGCCAAACTCTCCTAGTCGTCATTATATTCTTCACCACCAAGCAGTTGCAGGGGATAAAAAGCAGTTTCGCTGAAGAATATCCTTGAGGAAGAAGTAAAAAATATGAATTTTATGAAATTTCATCTCTAGAGTACATGTCGTTTTAATATTCTCTGTTGAATAGGAAGTACGCATAGAGCACTTATGCCGCATACCAAAGTATGAGAGCTGTTTCAAGGAAAAGCCCTCGTGTGATTGTTTGATGTGAGAGGTGACCTCGCCTCTTTACCCAAGGAACACCAGTTGAAAGAATGACTAACAGGCCAACTTTGATTATTCAGATTTGGGTATTTGGCAGACATTAACAAATGAACAAAGTGAGTCTGTTTGACAGGAGTTATTTGTGAACTATTTGTTGACAATGATAAAATTCACAACCTGCTGAAAAACTTGTATCTGTCCCCATGAGCTTGGCACCTTCTCAATACCTAAAGATTTCTGATGAGATCAGTGATGATACTAATCGCTGTGACTTAACAATCTTATATAATTAAGTATGTCAACATTTAGAATATCTGCATACTTCTGTGAACCAGTATTTTCAAGTGGGTGATGCATGATGTTACAATATCATGCACAGGTGAAAAAAATCCATTCAAAAATACAAGATAAATCAATAGATTTTAATGTAACTGAGTATGAAAAGTTGATTATTATGGTTTGAAAATCTAAACTGTGACTAACCTTTAAAAAATTACCACCTGTCATGTTTGTGCACAATATCAAAGAAGAATATCCTCAATTATCTGAAAATGCTATCAAAATATTCCTCACATTTCTAATGATTTATCTGTGTCTGTGGATTTTCCTAATATACTTCATTCAAAACTACATCTTATAACAATTTGAATCCAGAAGCAGATATGAGAATCCAATTGTTTCAAGCCAAACATGAAAAAGATTTTATAAAAATATAAAACAGTGCTTCTCTTCTCATTAAAGTTTTTTAGAGTTTGAGGCTGGGCGCAGTGGCTCACACCTGTGATCCCAGCACTTTGGGAGGCCGCGGCAGGCCGATCACTTGAGGTCAGGAGTTCGAAACCAGCCTGGCCAACATGGTGAAACCCCGTGTCTGCTAAAAATACAAAAATTAGCCAGGTGTGGTGGCACATGCCTATAATCCCAACTACTTGGGAGGCTCAGGCAGGAAAATCACTTGAACCCGAGAAGCAGAGGTTGCGGTGAGCCAAGATCACTCCACTGCACTATAGCCTGGGCAACAGAGTGAGATCTGTCTCCAAAAAAAAAAAATTTCTTTTGGAGTTTGAAAAATACAGTTCTTTTTCATAAAAATGTGTTATTTATGTTAACATATAACAGGCTTATATTGTTATTTCTAAATAAACAATACATATATTTAAAATATCTCAGCTTTAATTTTAATATAATAAATATCAATAGGTATAATCCATATAACAATAGCTCTTTAGGGTCCTCAAATTTCAAGAGTTATTTAAGGGGCCCCAAGTCCAAAAATTCTGAGAACCACTAGATTTGAGTAAGGGGGACAGATGAGTTTTGGAAGTTTGAAGAGGCAAGAAAAGATGTGTGATAATTCTGATTATTTAGCAGAGTGGGAAAGTGACTGGCCTAGGCAATGTAGTAGGATTGATGTGGCAGTGTGGCTTTCTTCAGCTACATTCAAGTACCTAAGAGCACGCTTGGAACAGCTGAAGACTTGATTTTAACACAGATTGGCTTGTCAGGCTGGTGGGAAAAAAAAGGAAGACTAGAGTAAGGGGATTTTGTGTACACAAGGGCATGATTATGGTGATGTTTGGTGGAATCTAATCTGGGTGATTAAATTAGTCTAATCTAAACTGGGTGATTAGATTAGAAAAGACTGGAAGGCATGAAGGAGGACAGGCATAGTGGAAACTGTGATATATAATGAATTATAGGCTCTGATTAGGTGGGAGAATGTTGGAGTTGGGGCTGTCGGTGGAGTAATCTGGAAGGACAGAAGCTAGAGGTCCAAGACTGGGATGCTTATAATTTACATCGTGGAGGGGGTGCGACTATGTTCATGGGTCCAGCACATGACAATGGGTGTGGGTAGCTGAGCTAGCGTGGAGAACAAGGTGACAGGAGAAGAGAGACCAAGAAACTTGGGAGGATCATCTGCACTCAGGGCTAATAGCACCTGGTAGAATCAGTGTGTCCATTTCAGTTGTTAAGATGTTAAAATTCTTTCATATCAGTTGGTTAATGGCCACTGCTTAAGACCCATGAGTGCTCCCCCATTGCCTTGGCTACCCTGGCTCCTGTCCCTGGACCCAGGACCTCCCTAAGATCTGACCCAGCAATTAAAGGGTAATACCATGCCCAGCAGGAAGCCCTCCAGAGGACTGACATTACTTCTGATTGGTCACTGCCTGTGCTTTACCTGAACATTGTCTCTATTTCCATGAATATTGAAATCACCAAGAACTGAGACTGACACAGTGTTGGAGAGAGAGACAATGAATGCAGGCTAAAATCCTCAAATCTTTGCTCCTCAAGGAGCAAAGACCCAGAGCTCTGAAGAAAGCAGTGCTATTGTCTGAGGCTAGGAGCTTCAGAGCTGGGGATTTTCAGAGAAGGAGAACAAAGGTCTGGAACTCTTAGCGGGGAAGAAGCAGACAGCTAGCCCACTTCTGAGTCCAGTGGTAGGAGGATGTAGGAGAGAAAACAACCATCAGTTGTGAGGGCTACAGAAGAAACAAGATTCTGAGAGGAGAACCACATTTCAAGAAGGCAAAAGGAACTTTCAGAGAGGAGATTAAGGGTGGAGAGCAGTGCGGTGACCCAACAACTACTGTGTAATATCCCTCAGTACTCTGAAATGGAGTTCATAGATAATTTACCCTGCAGACACACATGATTTTGTAAAGTGAATCTAACACCCAAGTGTCATATAAAGGATAAATAAAAGGAGATTTTTTGAATTAAATAGTGTGTATTTCAATATGGAAAAGCTTGGAAATGCCCCCAATCAGTGTTAGGATAAAAAGGTGATATTCTTGCTTTTGTATACAGAATCACCATGGATGACGGACACCCACAAATGCAGACAGATACTGTAATATTGCATTGATAACTCAAATACTATGAGCTACTTTGCCTTTGGTTATGTGATTTTTTTCCAAAATAATAAACAACAACTGGTAAAGTTTCAAATATAATAAAGGACAATCTTCTCTTGATTTACATAGTAATTGCATTCTTGGAAAATTCAGCATATATTAAAACCATACAAAAATATCTTAGTTTATATGGAAAGCAGAGTCAGATTCTAGCCTCAAATAACTATAATTGAGTTTTTCACCCACATGAATGTCTAGCAAACATTTGAAAATCGAATCGTTTATGAAACAATTCTTCATATAT